AAACTGAAGAGTTCGTCTGCAAAATTCTCCCCGTTGATCGACACTCAGATCGATACACAGAAAAAATCAATGCGATTTTTCGCACAACTTTCTAATTTCGGCAGTGAGGTTGTCATCCGATGTGGATCGACAAAATAAAGTAAAGCAAATCTGCAGTGCGTTAGATTACCAACTGCTCATTACCTGGTTCTAGTCCTTTGAAATTCGAGGGGCATACATTGCTCATGAATACGAAGATAAATTAATGGTTTTTACTTCATCTTCGGCAAACGAATTATTAAATTAAGGGGGGGGGCAGATAAACATCGCAATACCATCAGTAGATCAGTTTTAAAATTATCAGTCAATAAAGTATTTCTATTTTTCTAGTTGAGAACGGTCATTTGTTACAATACTCGTGTGCAAAGAACATAGAGATGCCCGAGTGCATGACCTATTGGCGGAATGGATTTGCTGCCTCTCAACTACTGCCTGGTGCAAAATGTTTCTCACATATGCGGATAAATAAAAACTAACGGAGCCGCCCTAAAATTATATGTTTGATGTATTACATTTTTTCTTTGATAAAAACGGAAAGCAATGGCTGGATGATCCCACTGCCTAGTGTTAAGTACCATACCAGTAGAATAAATTTGAGAAAACTTATCATAGAAAATAGATTGATTCGTATGGACAACACGCACTCAAATGGAATGAATCAGACTAGTGCTTGAGGTGTAGAGTGTGCTCGATATAAAAACATTTTCGAACATTGGTAGCAAACAACTTAGAGTTAAGCGAAAGTAGTTCAGCAAGAGTGGCTGTGAGCAGTGAGTGTCACCAGTGGACACTGGTCAGTGATGAAGACAAGACTTGTAGGTTTAGACCGTGGATTTTAACGCCTATTTTGATGTGTTCTTGTTTATATGATATCTCACCTATCTCGATAGCAATTACTCGATGAGTCACAACAACTGGGGAAGTAACAGAGCGAGTAGACAAATTTTGCTATATGGGCACCTATATCTCACCCGGTGGACGCATACAGAAGGCTCGACTGGCATTTGCCAACTTGATACGTCGGTGGCACCGTTGCGATATCCAGCTGTCTGTTAAGGGTCGAGTGTATCCTGCGGCAGTTCGACCAGTTCTGCTATACGGCGCAGAAACTTGGCCATTAAGAAAACAGGATGAAGATAGACTGTCGGTGTTTAAACACCGCTGTCTACGCAGCATTGTCCGAAGCTGGCTAGGCAGCCGGACGAGCAATGCTGAGGTTATGCACAGAGTTTTGGGCAACCGCGGTCGCCCATTGGAGCAAGTGGTCGACCGCCATAGATTACGTTGGTTGGAGCATGTGCTACGAATGTCACCAGATAGGTTGCCATGGCGAGCGATGTCCACCGAGGCAGCTAATGGGTGGACGAAAGTCAAGGGTGGTGAACCTAAGACCCGGAAAGATGGTATGGAAACCCTAACCAGGAGTCTGGGTCTCATAGAGGTCTTTTTAGGCTCCCTGGCTGGTGACCTCGGGATGATCGTAACCGATGGTTAGAGTAATACTGATGAGTGATATTGCTGGGTGTCGTAAACAGTGGCGTTCTTGCATCTTCTCAATGTCTTTGCAACACTAGTCCACTGAACTTCCCAATTTTCTCTTTGATCTTCTTTCTACCCTTATTTTCATTTTCCTCATGTTCATCCAATTGGGCAGCCAAAAGACAGCAACCATTAGCGGCGCACGATAGTACAAGATTAATGGTTGTAGAAACTGAAATGAACTGAACAGAACATTTGGCGAACTTAAACTTTCCCGTAGATGGAGATCAACTCATTGTGGAAATTGCTATCCATCAGGGCATCAGCAGCAGTGACATCAAGGGACACTGAATAAATAACGATTACTGAATATTGTTCGACTGTATAAAATGTATCCTTAAAAGTCTGGAGATTTTATTAGCATTAGTAGTAGTATTAGTAGCAGTAATATTGGTGATTCGAATTATTCAAGTTGTTTGGCAGATTTGAAGTTTTTATGGCAAGGCTGTGAAAAGTTCAGTAGCCTCGATGGGATAAGAAAAGATCAGTGCTATCGGTGTGGCCCCGTAGCTCAGCTAGTAGGGCGTGCGCAGTACAAAAGCATGGGCGACGTCCATGCACGGGTTCGAATCCCACCGAGGCTACTGAACTTTCACAACCTCGATAGGTCCAGTTATGTTTAACTTACTTGTTGTACCTCCATGATAATAAATTGGCACTCCGAACACAAGGAACGGAATCATCGCAATGAGTTGATACATACTGTAGACCAAAGCTCTCAAATAAGCAACGCCATCCAGACCCGCGTATTGTGCAAACTCCCAGTGTCTGAAATTCGAAGAAATATGCGCGTGAATATGATATTTGTAATCACTGAATATCAAGAAGTGTCCCTATGGACTATTTTGTTAAAGAACCTAGTTTAAAGCGAGTAACCGAACCACCACGATACTTAATCAGCTCACTTTTTGATATAATGAACAGTTAGTAAACGTACAAATAAGCACTACGAGATTCGTGATCCACATCACTTTTAACCAATATCTCGTATTAAGAAGTGTCAAAGTTTCTGTTATCTAATTTGGATTTTTTTAGATAGGTAGTTACAATATAGCTATCAACTCCGATATTTTTTCTTCTTCTAAAGAGTACTCAATAGATTACGAACATTCTAAGCAATATCACACTTATTCCTTGTACATTTATTGCACACGTGTGGTAAAGCGTACTGTGAACGGCAATGCAACCAGCTACAGACGGACACAATCAAAAACACACATCCGTGGGTATTGATTAAACGCCATTTGTGGAAACTGTTTTTACTTTCTTGATCAATTATAAGAGCTCAGAACACTTGTATTCTATTGAACCGATCGATCCATGTTATGAGCAGAACATTTTGACAGAAAATGTTTGTGCAGACGAGTTCACTTTAGTTTTACCGCTAAGACTACCGGAGAAAAATGAAGAAGCTGAGCACAAGTTCTAGAGATTTATCACCCTCATTTAGCGTCGGAAAAGAAGCAGCGAATTTCTCGCATTACGGCTAAATTGAGCACAAATGCGCAAGATGGATGGATAGGAAAATAAAATAAGCCACCGGAGCACAAATTCTAACTGTGCGCACACATTTCTTCAAGCTATTTATTCGTATCAAAAGTGACCGGTAACAAACCACTGCCACTCCACTCAGTGTTTCAGACGAATAACTAAAGAGTGTTTTTGAGACAGTTTCGAACGACAACGGACCATTTTGTGTCCGACTTCCCCGTGCAGTTTTGAAAACTTCGTCTCCATATAATCTGTCAACTTTTGGTCAGTTATCCTCACTCCAGAGCCGCAAGGTGAGACGTGACGGATTATCGCGTGGTACAAGTACACAACTCTGAATTCTATTCATGCTCATTTGTTGTGCAAGCGCACTGCCCCCGCCCCAACTCACCAGTTCCAAACACTTGATCCACTATTACAGCACTAGACAGAATGAAATTGTATACTCCCTTAAGCGGAACTAGCTTCAGCATAACCCACATTCGTAGATAAATTTCGTTGGTATAGTGGCACGTTTCACCGTATTCGTTTTACACTACCATCAAGTCGGTTGAAATGCACCAGTTATCTCTCGGATAACAGATGTTCCATACAGCCTTGATTCACCGATCAAACGTGACAGCAAGCGAATCCATTTGTGAAACAGCATAGGTGTATGTGTGTGTGTGCACAGCCAATGCTCGAGAGAAGTCATTCGGGAAGAAATTAGATCGTGCTCACTCCGTTGATCGGCCTCGGGACAAATATTCTCACACACGTACACACACACACACACACACAACGTGAAAACATTTTGATAGCAGATTGGGCTTCTTCACTGTTGATTACCTTCGTATCATCCCTTGTCTTGGGGTAATACACGAGGGGTGATAAAATGTGTGTCGCCACTTATGGATTAAGGTGAATGTTAGTTAGTCCTAACAGAGAAAGATTCAAAATATCTGGTAGATGGAAATTGGTTTAATCCATTGGGAGTGTGAAATCTGCTGGCGAACCGGAGACCGTCTAATTAGTGCGGTTGCACGCACGCACGCACGCACGCGAGCGCGAACGAGGATATCAACGAGATAAACAATGGCTCAGGTCCGTGATGGCAACAGTCCAGATAAGAGAATAATGTGTGTTGGTGTTAAAGACAGTGTGCAACAAGGCCTTCGAATTTCCATCCTCGTTTTTCTTTATGATTCCACGTGTGTATTCTCTAGTGAAATCAGAGCACAGACAATTACGCGGAAGGAGCCGGTATCCAACTTTATGAATAAAATAATACACATTGTGGTAATCGGAGGTGAAGGAGGAGGTGTGCAAAGGTGGGAATGGAGGTGCAAGTATTAGACCATCCTGTCCGCGGCCGGTATAGCTACTAATAAGAATTGTATTTAACCATTATTCTTCTTGACCTGATCGATTTATCTTGTCTGATTATATTTTTACAAGATCTAGGATTGTTATTTTGTCAATACTCGCCCATTACCACTCAGATGCCTTCATTGGGAAACCATGAAAATCTTGTACGCGCGATATTAGTGTGTCAAACTGATTCTCAGTTGTGTTTAGATCTAGGTCAGATATTAACCCTCGGACGACCTTCCAGCGTTTGACCAGTAAACATCAGTATCAGGATACAGAGATGTAGTGTCCTATTGCAATCTTCTGAACAGTAGCGGGGGGGCGGAATTGCTCAAAATTGTGACTGCGCAACGGAATCCTGTCTGATCAAAGGGAGCACTAACTAATTTCGTCCCTCAACTGAAAAGCTTTCCCGATTCATCATTGAGCCACTATGGCTGTTTTTTCCACGGAAAACAGCTTTGTCGTTTTCTGCAATTATTCTGGTATTTGTTTTAAGCTCCAAATTCATTATTTTTCCAACATGAAGTGGAAATTTGTCTACTTGTTTGACCATACTACCGGTTTTACAGTAAATGCAAATGGTTCTTTATGCAGCGGTATTAAAGCCGTATAGTGTTTTCCATGATGTTAGCGGTGGTGGTGATGATTACGATGATGGTGTTGTTGTTGGTGTAGGTGGTGGTGGCGTGGTGATGGTGGCGGCGGTGGTAAGAATTTCCCGTGTGATGATGGTTTGTTGTTTAATCGCATAAAAGTCATAGACTCTTGCACTGGGCTAAGTGTTGTGGCTGATTGACGTATCCAAAGTATTCTGTTTTCCTCGTTTCGAACACATAGTCAGTTTACACCTAATAAATAAAACAAAATTATTTACGACTATAATCCATCAGCTTCCACTTTGAACTTTCGCCCTTTTGGTTGTAACATCCCGTAGTCATTAATACCATTTGATCCCAATTGTATTTATCCTTCAAATGTCTCACTTGGTTGCTTTAATTTCACCTCGATCAATCCCCTTCAGGTTGCAAATGAGATAAATGATATCACATGTGAACGGAATGGGATTCAGGCTCAGGTGATTAGTCATCTACTTGTTCACCTGGACTGGATTCCGCCCAATACGGAGAGCAACGATTTAGGCAAATGAACTCTCAATAACATCAACGTGGTCACTTACTCCATGAAAAAGAAGCGCTTTAACGTAATCGCGGGCAACCGTTTCTTTCGCTCACAGTGCAGGTTAAATAGGGAACTGAAAAAGTAAACAAAAAGGGGAACGTGAGATACCATCATATGAGAGTGTGAACTGACTTTGCACATGATAGAAGCGAGCTGAATCGCCGTAAATAAACCCAGTATGAGCCAGAGCGATTAGCTTTTCTGGATCGACAATGTATCGTTGAGTCTGTAGGTGTACATTTATTGGTGGTAAAATACAATGAAAATGGGTTGCGTTATATGATATAAATTACAATGGAGACGATTCGAGCTCCCTTTTGTCAAATATGTGATTTCATTCAGAAAAAGATGCATACAAGTGAACAAAATATCTAGTAAATAATAAAAAAAAGGACTAAGCAACGAGCAGTAATAGCTGGAACACTTCAGCTGATTCCCAATTACACCTTTCCGAATTGTTGTCACCCTTTGTTCGTCAAGCAAACGATTCATTTCCATCAATCGGATAGACTTCTTTCCAATTGGTTTGCTCAAACATTCAGCTGATGCAGGCAAACCCGAACCTCTCCGATTGCTCGGTTTGCATTCATCTGAGAACACACCGTTAATTTGATGAGCAACAATTAAAAATAGGTACGTGATGTGTAAATACATATGTTACTGATCTTTGCAGTTTGTAATACCGTCCGTCTCTTCTAGAAACTGAACCATTTTCTTGGCCCCCAGTGACATGGGCCACCTTTTGGCTACAGTGAATCAACACTAAATTTTTTTAATTAAAAGACTCAGTTGAAAACGAGTACCCCCTAATCCCCCGTTGGCAGAACGAATCATTCGTCAACTGCTTTCACGCCCTGCTTTGTATCCCAGATAAACGGGGAAAGACTGTTGAACCCTCATCTTATGTTCTATTGGCGAAAGGATCAGTGGCCGTGGTCGGACTGGAACTCAAGCATGGATGCTGCTTAAGCTTTAGTGAATGAACAATGGGAGAATATCGACAGCAGTGTGTTTCCGGCTCACCCACCCAGCATACACACAGCGGTATTGGAAATCCTGAAGTTATTATACAAACTGTCTACTCTGGCAGTTTTCACTTGGAATTCACTAAATAAACTTTGCGGTTGAGTTATTTGTTCGAATTATTATATTGTTTCGTAGCTGACCTCATAGCCAGTGAGTGCAATGTAAAAAGCCTTGGGTGGCGCTTATATGTGGGTTCGAGTCCAACCAAGTTTACTGATCTTTCCACAAATTAAACGCAAGACCATTCTCTTCGGTCTTGTGCCAAAATAATATAGTTATAATCCGTCGGAACCTATGTGAATTTCAAAAAGCATTATCATTTCTAATATCAGAGAGACACAATTTTGCCGCATAGCATTGTTGAGAACACGGACTCAATGTGCATAAAACATTTTCAGGTACACCATTGACAGCGCTTATGATGGGCAAAAGTCTCTGATAAGTTCGAGTTTCATTTGCTGTCGACTTCACGGCACAATAGAGTATGCAGTACTTTTGCATGCGTATGAAGTGGTTCGTCGGTTAGGCATCCATGTTCAACAAGCACACAATCGCTCGCCTTTGTAGAGCCCAATACGTGAGATATTATTTTGTGGGCAAATGATGACATAATCGTAATTAAAAATGCAGATGGTGCAGAATTTCACGAATTGAATCGAGCGTTAACTTTATTTTGTTTCATTTATCTAACCAAGCATATTCAGATGCATATACAACAGATTGCAATCAACGTGAATTTCCAGGATTTTCATCGCTAATTTCAAAATTAACTTACGCCCCTTGCTCCCGTAAGCGACGAACACTGACTTTCATCCCAAACCACAGTAGAACGCAAACCTGAATGAAAAGCCATTTCGTCACTTTTTTGTATGCCGAAAACTGACCGGTACGGCCAACACGTTCAAAAACAGATTGAAAGGAATCCCTTCAAACTGCCAAAGATACGACGAACCAGGCGAGCGTGTTCGAAAATATCCGCGGCATTCCTCCACAGACGCGTTCAACGAAATGTTTTGCATTGCGATCGGGTAGAGTGAGTTCTGAAGGTACGTAAACTAGATTTCTTCTATGACCGGAAAGTGTGAAATTTTCCAGAACCACACATCACTGACGTCTAAAAATGATGGAAGATAAGAGTAAGTATGATAGATCAATTAACTGAAAAGGAATTATTCGGTCTACACTTCTACTTACTTGCATAGAGGTGCATCAGTTCAGTTGCATAGTTTTTAGGCATTAAGATGGGAAGTATTTCTTTTTTAAACAGTAGAAACGGATTTTCGAAGCGGGACAGATGATTTAGTGTGCGGGGCGGTAAATCTATCATCTTAACTCTGTGTTAGACCAATCAATATGACATAACACAGCCGGTATAGTGCGGATTGATTATTAAGTGCGTCAGATTTGTCCATGAGTGAAAATGGTAATAAATATCATAAAAAATATTGTTGATATCACACGTATATTTCCCGAATGTTCCTTTAATTTGCTACAATTCTCTTTTTCCCAGAAAACGAGTACAATAGCCGTTTTTCTTGTTTGTGAGATCAGTGAACAATTTAGGGGTCTGTGCACGAGTTACTACTACACATTATTTAACCTTTTATCTTGTCATCTTTCTATGAAAAACTGAAGGTCTGTGGGATCAACTTATGATTTTCTATGGAGAGTAATATAAAGTAATGTTCGAGTCTATCTTATACAAAATCACCCACTTGTGCCCATGAAAACATTTTAGCTGAGTTATTCTATTTGAATCAAACCTGTAAATAAGAACTCAAACAACATTCACAAATCGTGTTCGGATCGAGTACTGCATTCGACACCGTCCTGGATAATCTGGAAGATGAATTGGTGAGTTTTGTTGAATTTAATGTAAATGCTTACATGGGTGGAACAAAATTTCAAAAAAGACGGTCTATATAATGGTAACGCAAAAACAAACCTATGGACTGTTCAATATTTCAGTAGCTAGCATTTTTCTTTTTCATTGTACTTCATCTTATTAAATATGCAAAGATCCAATTTTCAGACAGGCGGAAGCAGCCAATTAAAGGGCTACCATTCGACAAATAATGGGGAAAATTAGGCGGCGGTGGTGGGATTCGAACACACATTCCCGGGGTGAGAATTTGATGACGTTACCACCGCTTCCATTCTATCCTTTTGGCCCCAGGTTCGATCCTCAGTTGAATTGAGCGATACGCACCACAGTAGGAATCTGGCAAATCCCGAAAAGCTGTACAGAGATTTATATTTTTCATTACTTGTTTCCTCTATGTTGTACACGAATAACTTAGTCCGGTTACCCTCGTGTATTTATGTATTATCATAAGGTATCGGTTTTGTTGTAGCAGATGAGTATTATTTCGAATTTTCTAATGCATTCTCTTTCAAAAGCTATCAAAACAACTTGAGGATAGAATCCTGAATAAAACAAATTTTGCTATGTTGAATGAACATTTCCTCGGTAAAATTAGTTTGATTCTTTGCTCACAGAATTTGACGAAGAAAACAGAACTTTAACACCTGGAGTCAAGCCTCAGTATTTTTGTGAAAATACAAAGTTCCAACTGTGATGAGAAAACAGGAACATAGGACTGTTTCTAGAGGCTTATCAAACGATTGAGTTAATTGCCCGACTCCAAGCGACATTTTTTTGTTTTTAAGTATATGTGTTTATGGGTCAGTCTCCCGTAATCAACAAGCTGCTGTCGATAGCCATAACTGTAGCCTGTTGTAGGTCGACAAAAGCAACCAACCTGTAGAATTTTTTATCATCTAAAGTGATGGGACAGGGAAACTGTAAAGGATCCAACTGCACCATAAAAAATACCTAATAAATGAGGTAACACTGAGATATTGCTCCCAGTAAAGGATCTTCTCTGCCGAAAGGCAAGATAGAAGCTGGAATAACGCGTCGTCAAGCACATAAAATTGCCTATGGTTTTGCCCACTGGCTACATACACTTTGTTGCCGCAATGCCTGCCTAGCCGTTGAGCCAAGTCTAACTAGTGCCATTAAATGATTCAGATATAGTTTGTAGAACATAACCGTGAATTAGTGATTCTTAAGCACCGCATAGATCTGGCTTGACAAGTGAAGAAGTATTTCTGGGGTAACATACTGGATGATTAAGGAAATTTGGCGTAGATCTTTCCAGTAAGTTAAATTTCATCCTTGAACTTTTAGATTAAGTCGTCGAGATCGGCCCTATAGACTGTTAGAGACGTAAATATCCCCGTGAAGCCGTAGACTTTACGGTATTAGTCAATGCACCACTGCAGTACTGCAGCATCACGTGGCAGTAATAAACCTCCTATAGTGAAATTTTTTATTTCTTTTCTAACTCGTCGACAAAACTAGAAGGCGGAAAAAAGCGAAACCAAACAATGTAGGTGATTGATGAGCTTTTTCCACAAATTGGTGTCACATTACCACAACTCCTGGGTGAGTCTGTCTTGCGCAGTACTACTTCCAAGTTTTAATCACTCTTTATTCGCATGCGAAACCGTCGTATTACCCTAGGACGATGGCTACCAGGTTTGCTGGAAGATATTGAGAACGCCAAGTTGAACCTTCGGATGACATGGAACTACTCATTGCTATGTATGGATTCCTGTTACGGACTCAGTGGATCATGATCCTGAGCGAGTTATTATTTTCGTAAATCTGCTATTTTGAAGGATAGGTTCTAAGTGGTGCAAAAGAAGAAACATTCTTAATGTGTTTGCTTGAAAATACCATCATGCAGCGCGTCATTCAGTTTGAATTGAATTTTATAAACTAACAGGGGGCATCCGTACCAAATTTAGGGGTAAAAATATATTTATCGTGTATAATGGAGTTAGCAATGGATACTGCACTAGGTAAGAGTGAGCATCGGGTACTTGATTTAGTAAGAAGCATATCAAACCAACCGCCTAGCAAGCAACAGCAAT